CGTCTTAAAAGGCTACGTGACTTAACAAAAACTCAAAATGGCGGCGGCTCAAACGTCCACACCGCTCAGCATTACGAGCAGTTTAACATATTCCACACGAAATACACCCAAAATACATCAAATAAAATACCTTCACAATAAAATAGACTTCACAGTTCCAAACAAAAGTACAGACAGTATAAATACAAAAGTACAGACAGTATAAATACAAAAGTACAGACAGTATAAATACAAAAGTACAGACAGTATAAATACAAAAGTACAGACAGTATAGATACAAAAGTACAGACAGTATAAATACAAAAGTACAGACAGTATAAATACAAAAGTACAGACAGTATAAATACAAAAGTACAGACAGTACAGACACGTCGCTCTCTGCGTCTACGGCGACTTTAAATTGGCCCAACTACCCCGTTAGTCAGGGCAAAGTGCATCCTACAAAACGGGCAAAATATAAGACAAATAATAAGAGAAAATTCACCAAAAGTGTCCTGGTAATTGTTGTTGTCTACGAGCAGAAGTGCTACATTTACAATATTCTTTTAAAATAAAAATAGAAATATAGAAAATATAATATATATAATAAAATAAATATAGAAAAATAATATAGAAAATAAAATAAAAATATAAAAGCCATGAATTAGTTTTGCAAATATTTATGTTTCATCATGTTGTTTATAGCTGTTTTAATCAGCTATATAATAAGTTATATATAATTTAAGCTCTGGAGTCTTGTATCGTTCATATCCCCATAACATGAAAACCCTACACACCCCTCACATACAGACACACGACACCAGTTATAAGCAAATTATACACAAGGATTACATTTGTAGCCTTAATAGCATCAAAAAATATTATGTTTTCTTTATTCTTGAACGGCGTCATCCAGAGTCCAGAGCTGGTTTCTTGTCCCAGTCCAGGCTGGGACTAAAGGCCAATTTACGGTCCAGCGTCAATTCGTCTGCGTCACGACACAGAGAGTACAGAGCCTCTGCGTCGACCGACGTGCACCTCCGACATTTTCTCACTGCTCGTAAAACGCCGCAGACAGCAGGGGAAGTGACGCAGACGATAAGAGCTGTGATTGGTCGTCCGTATCACCGCTCTGTAGACATTTCCTGTCGGCTTTTCTTTCTTTCAGTTTATATTGAGAAATAATGTGTTTAGTGCAGCTTTGTGCATATGTGTTTACGTTTTACAGAAACGAAACTTAAAACCGCATGACAACTTACATAAACAAAGTGCTCATAAAACAGCTCCTGGTACGAGGTTCAGCTTCTGTCGGACTTAAAAAGGACACGACTCAGTGGAATATGAGTGTCTTTCTGTGACAGAGTCACATTGTACTAATGGTGAGTCTGTTCTGTGTTTTTATCGTGTGGTTCATGTTAAACTTTTCAGAGATTAAAAGTCTGCGGGTCACACACACAGACACACGTATATATGAATGGACAGATATCGTCGCCCCCTGGTGTTTTGGCGGTGAGTTACTTGGCGGTGCACAGACCTCGACGCAGATCCATAAATCAAAAACGACGGCGACAATGCGACGGCGGCAGTGCGCGTTGAGTCGACGCAGAACTATACTTCACCCTTAATATCTCCTCTCGTCTGCGCACACATCAGTTTCTCTCATCTTTAATCTTTACTCTAGAGCCACTCATTTGCAGATTTTGTAATTCAAATTCAATATTCAAATGGTCAATAAATATTCCTTATGCCTGGACAGCCCCATCCCCACTGACAAAACACATTAAATACAATAAATCAAATGTACAATTTAATATTTAGTTTGTCAGTGCTGCACAAAGACACAGTAACACATTTAACGTTTGAATAATCGTTAGCATCGTTAGCATTAGCACCGTTAGCGTTAGCACCGTTAGCATTAGCACCTGTTAGCGTTAGCGTTAGCACCGTTAGTGTGAGCACTGCCGCACAGACATGCCTTTGTAAACAGAAGCATCAGAGAGAGGATTTAGCATACGAGAAAACATTATTTTTCTTTACATCCGGCTTTTCCGCATGTGCGCAGTGACTGGGAGGCACAAAGTCAGTGGGGCCACTCGTTTTGTGTCGACAGTTGTGTGGTGTTTGTCTGTCATGAGAGAACTCGGCTTATTTTGAAGTAGGTTTTGCATTTAATAGTTTGGACATGACTTGATCATCTTACTCTAACGGCAAATTCACATCAAGAGCTGCAGCAGCGATTAAATTTAAGTTTCAGTTCACACCAGAGCGTCTGAGATGCTCCTGCCACGCAGCCTGCACATCTTCTCACCGTTTACAGACATCGCATTTTGTACTTGCTTTTTGTTCTTAACATGTGTATGTACAAACTTTTAAAAATTTTATTTTATGTTAAGGTGTATTAAGTTAAGAGTTTGTATTGTTAATTAAGTGTAGAACTGCAACGCATTAAAGTTTGCTACATTTCTACTTCATCTTTTATTTGTATTTTGTATCTTGCATTTTACTGAAGTTTAAATCTATTACCCTACTAGCATCAGGATCTGTAGCGGATCCGCTTTCGGACCATCAAATCCGCCCCACAGTCCGTCCGCTTTGTGGATCTGCTGCGTATTTGTTCTGTATTCTCTTTCTAACTGTTGTTAATCCTAACCTTTGGATGAGCTGCTGTTACAGAGAGAATCTGTTTAAATCATCTTAGATCCGCACGTGAACGTACTTTTAACACAACACTTGTTAGATTTGTTCTATCAATGCGCGGATCCGCGGCTAAACCGGTTCAGATTCGCTGCGCGGACGCGTCACTGACCAGTGTTGGGAGTAACGCGTTATAAAAGTTATGTATTACAGTAATGCATTACTTTTTGCTGTAACACAGTAATGTAAGGCATTACAGGGGAAAAAATTGTAATATTTTACTCGGTACAAATGTGAGTAACGCGCGTTACAATGTTTTTTTTACCTGGATTGAAGTGGTGGGTTTTTCTTCATACAAATTCGCTAAAATCACCTCGATATCAGCAGCAGTGAAACACCGGAGATGCTCCTCGTAGACCTTCAGGTAACCGCGGGCGAAAGGACTGACAAAGAACTCCACGCTGTTTAGACCTGGTTTAGACCTGGGTCACTTCTGGTTTAGACCTGGTTTAGACCTGGTTTAGACCTGGGTCAGTTCTGGTTTAGACCTGGTTTACACTCATCCCTCCCTCTATCGCAGTTCACTTTTCGCGGTCTCGCTGTTTCACAGATTTATTTTTTATTTTTTGTGTAATTTTGCATGCCCCCCTTTTTTTTTTTTTTTTTTTACATTGTATGAATGTGTATTGCTTTCCTCCTGATTGGCCAAGGGACTCCTGTCTCCTGTACAGTACAGAATGTGTTCAGCTGCCAAATTTAAATACATGTTCAGTCTGTATCAGTGTGATTCTGAAGTGCTGTACGGTTGCAAGTTTTCTCCCCGACGAAACCCACAACGTCGACGAAACGTTCTGCACCGACAAAGGCTCCTGCGCTCGCACCCAAAAGACAGAGGAAGATGCAAAACCATCACACAAAAAGTTGGACTTCTGGACACGCTGAAGGAAGGTAGAAGTTACGCAGCTGTAACAGACTCTTGCACCGGGTCTTGTACCTGCAAATAGTTACTGAAATCAGGGCCGCGAGCCCGAGCAGCAGAGTGACAGCCGCTCTTACCTCCGTGAGGTGCGGAGCAGAGCCGCTCCTTTGTCCTACCTTTCACCTTTGAGCCCGTCCCCACAGTGAGTCCTGTTTTAGTCCTAGTTCACTTCTGGTTTAGTCCTGGTTCAGCTCCGGTTTAGTCCTGGTTTAGACCTGGTTTAGTCCTGGTTCAGTCCATATACAGCGCAAAAGTTATTTTGGTGAGAGTAACTTAAAGTAATGCAATAGTAATGTAATGTCTTACATTTTAAATGCAGTAATATTGTAATGTAACGAATTACTTTGAAATGACAGTAATAGGTAATAAATAACACATTACAGTTTTAAAGTAACTTGCCCAACAGTGTCACTGACTCATGAGCCGTTATCAGAACCTGAGAGGAAAGAAACAACATAAACCTGTTGTCTGCAGATTTAACTGTAAGTAATAGTTTAAAAGTTAATTTTATTAGTCATCATTAATGTACATATCGTTAACATTAGATTGTGACGTCTGTTCGTCTATGACTCTGTGTTTTATCAGTTTTGACGAGTGCAGTAACAGTAAAGTTAGCGACAGGAGCAGCTGACGTGATGAAGACGATGTGAGGTCAGGAGTCAGGACAACTCCATCTCTTGAGGTAGATCCCAGTCTAAATACTATTTTTATATAACGCTACTTATATTCTTATATATGTTTATGACCACAGAGTTGTAATTCTGCTCTGTGATCACTGGTCGTGTCTAACGGGCTCGGTTCTGGCTGGACGCCGCTCTCGGCGCTCTGCCTTCGGCTGTGGAGCGACAGAGACACCGGTGTCTGATCTGGTTGTGTTTTTAACCACAGATAATTATTATTTGTGTAGACTAGAGTGTTGACTGTTGAGTTGAGACTAAAATTTATTTTCTCGCCAGTCAAGAAAATTTATTTTTGGGTCTGATTGACCTGCCCCAAAAGAGCGGGAAGGAAAAAAAATATCTTCGGGTCTATGTGACCCCGAGGAGAGTGTGAGGGTTTTAAGGTGAGGAACATGGTTAAAGTTCAGGATTAGGAAAAAACAAATGTTGTAAAACTATAAATAACCACAAATATAATAATAATAAATCTTTATTTATAAAGCACTTTTAAAAACAAGATTTACAAAGTGCTGTACAAGCAACAAAGAACAATACAAAAAGCACAAAAATAGCACACAGAAAGAATACAAAAACAGACAATGATGCAAACAATTCAATTTATTATAATAATAAAAAAAAAGAAATAGAATAAAAATAAATAAGGAATAAAATCAAGCTAAAACCAGCTAAAGGAAGAACAGATACACTTGTAAGTGATGCTACAACTGCAACACTGCTAAACTCCGCCAGCTTCTGCCTCTTCGTAGGGTGACCATATTTCTGTTTGTGAAAACCAGGACACTTCAGCGGGGGTGGGGGTCAGGCCTGTCAATAATGACAAACATGAAATAAATTATACTCAAAGTTTACTCAAAGGTGCTTTAAACTTTCTGTAACAAATGAAAAAATATAACAATATTGTAACAGTATAATTATAAATTATACTCAAAATTATATTACTCAATGATGCCTCAGAATTTCTGTAATGAATGGAATATTGAAAGAAATAATGTCTCATTTGTTTAAAAAAAAAAAATAAATTAAATAGATAAATAACCTATGTTAACAATACAACTTTAACAACAATACGTCTGCAAAAGTAACAAAAATATCTATAGCCTATCTTTGGTTTGCTTAATCCTCATCTTCTTCTTCATCCTGTTTCTTCCTCATCCTCCTTATTTGCCCATTGATATTTTGCTGTAGAGCTGATCTTTCCCAGCAGTTTTTTGTTGCTTAACAAATAAGAATGAAACTGTTTGCAAGACATATCTCTGAAGTTGTATTGCACAAAAAGAATGCCCTTCAATGACTCAACAGAGAGCTGGTTTTTCTCCTTTGTCCACTGGCTCTGCATCAGTGAGAAAACTCTCTCAACATTTGCACTGTGAGAGGGAAGTGCTAAGACAAACTGTGCAATTTTCAGCAATTCTGAGTAACATGCAATGCTTTTGGCCTTCTCAAAGTATTTGGTCCACTTCTGGTGCACCTGCAGGCTCATGAACTCATCATCACCATTGCGGTTTTTTATGAATTTCTTAATATTGGCAACCTGGTCAAAACACTTAACATCATCAATTTGCACCCCCTTCTCTCTAAGGTACTTGATGCAGGCCTCCACATCATTCCAGTCTGGTGGCTCACTCATATCCATCCACATAAATGTTGAGAACTCTTCCATGGGAGTCATCCACTTCTCCAGATACTCCAGACATGCACATTTCAAGCACATCAGCACTGAACTTGTCACAGCCCTCACCAAGTCCATCTCTGTGATTTTCTGCCAGTAGTCCCTTAACTTTAAGGGACATGAAATTGTTGCTCTTATGCTCAAGAAGAATGTTGTGGATGCTGTTCAAAATTTTCTTCACCTCCATGATGGAATTGTTCTCCTTTTCCATTTGTTGAATGTGGTTGTGGAACACAGACATGAGTGAGTGCATGTGCCACAAGCAGATCTCACTGAATTTGTTGTCAAAAAACTTCTTGATTGCCTTGGGTGACTTTTGCTGAGACATGAAGAATGCCTTTAAAGCAGGATACATCTGAAGCATCCTCTCAGTGCCTGGAAAGAGCCTGCTGTGAGAAAGCATCCTCCTGTACTCAACAAAATCACAGTACTCTTTAAGGGACTCAGTGCGCACCGTGTAAATGTGGAAGTACTGGTAGATTTAAAACATGATGTTCTCAAGGTCAACATCAATTGCGTCGGTCCCATGATAAACACAATTGTTCAATATGTGTGCTGGGCAACCCACCCCAATTAAGAGTTTTGTTCTGAAGCAACCTCTTCAAATTTGCAAACACATTGTTTCCCCCTTCATCACATCACATTCCACCGAAATTTGTGTTGCAATTGTCTCCAGTAAATGCGATGAATTTTGAAGATAAACAGTTTTTTGCCAATGTTTCAGTGAGATAATTTGCAGTGGTGTTTGCTGTTTCATTAGGTGTGTCTTTCACCTCAATTAATTTTGTTTGCACACCGCCCTTCTTCCAATCAAAGTACTGGATAATGATTGGGAATATTTTCACTGCTCCGTGGGGACTCCCGTCTGTACTAATACCACAGTATTGGATTTCCTTCAGTTCTTCATATGTGACTTCAGCAGAGTGGGGAGCCAAAACACCATTCACAATAGCCTCGGTCTTAGTGCGGGCACAACCATACTTTTTGGCGGTGTCAGAATCAGGGAATGCCCCTTTTAGCAATCTACTACAGCAATCCATGGACCTGTAACTGTGGTGGTGTTTGACAGTATGAAATGACAGCGCACCCTCCGCTGCATTCACAACATCCTCAGATTTACCAGGTCTCATTAAGAACTCCGTCATAGACATTACGCTACTCTCACCTCGCAAAGCTTTTTTATGTTTTTCGGTGTCCTGGTGAGCTTTGAGCTCCCTGGCACCTCCACTTGACACCGAGACATATGTGCCTGCTTTGCATACTGTACACAGGGCCTCCTACTTGTCTCAACCGGGACGGAAGGCGGGGAATTTCTTTTCCAAGTCATTGTTAAATGCGCATCTGCACTTCGGCATTTAGATAGATAGATTTATTTATTGTCATTGTATGAAATACAACGAAACTTCAACAGAGCAGATCTGTAGCAGTAAAAATTAACAAATATACACACACATTTTGCTCGCTCTTTCTGAATATACATAGCGCTACCACACTGAAGGTGCTCAGACATGTGTGCACAGTGCCCTAGTGCAGTGCCGGTCAATTTAAAGGCCCAATGAAAGATAAAGAAAACCTGGACATTTCCATCACTTTATTAAAAAACACCCGGACGGCGAGGACAGGACGCAAAAAATGGACATGTCCAGGGAAAAACGGACGTTTGGTCACCATAGCTTACAGTAAAAGTATCAAACCTCTTCCAGGGGGGCAGAACCGACAGAAAATTAAGAAAGCTGAACTATCTCAGATTTTAATGTTAAATCGTTTGTGCCCACGTCCTTTATTCACCAGCAGCCACTGATGTCACCTGAGAGTTTGATTTCATAAACTCCTGCAGTTCTTTGCAGAGCTCTGATTTAGGATCCTTTTTGCAGTACTCTTTCATCAAATATTCAGCCGCTCTGGACCCCTTCTTTATGACCGAGTCCACCACATCTCGGGCCTTGTCAGCTCGAGGTTTCACTTTAATCGTCTCCATTTCCTCATAGTTCAGGTACTTTTCTTCAAGGAGTTTGTCCAGCAGCTGATCAAGGATAGGACCAGTCACATTTTGAACAAATTTGGGACGAACTAACTCCAGTTTTTCCAAGACTAACTCTCCGTGATAAGTCATGGGGATCTCACAAAGAGGATCTGTTGAAACAGAAAAATAACATTATAGCATCTTAACAAACCAAAGTAAAACCTTTACGTGTCCCACAAAGGAGACACAGTATAATTCATAGAGCAGAAGTGTAGCCACAGACTGTATAAAGACGTGGACTAAGGGACTGTGACGTCACCCACAGTTTATGAATGAATTTATGAGTCTGTTTCAGAACTCAGAGTTGTAGTAAATATCTGCAGGACAGTGGTTTGGAGGCCCCTGGGGGCCCCAGAAACACTGCAGTGGGGCCCCCAGAGGTTGTCCACACAACAACCAAGAAGAAAAATTGAGTTTTAAATCTGTTTTACATAAGATATTTGTTTATATTAGTATAAGCCCACAGTTATGTAGGTTTTAATTAGGGCTGGGCAAAAATAATTTTTTTTTATTGCGATTAATCACATGAGTTCGAGCGATTAATCGCATGTTATACGCAAAACCAATTCATGATTTAAAAAGTAGAGTATAGTGCTCTTTTATTGGAAATGTAAATGAAAGAGCCAAACATTTGTTGTACAAACAGCATTTCTTTAACAGGGGAACCTCAGAGTCTTCAAGGTGTTCAGGGAAGGCTCAAGAAAAAATATTGAATGGACGTTTGTACGACTAATATATTTATTGAATATTTTTTATGCTGTGAGTAATGAACACTACACTAGTAATAATTTCTAGATCAGTGTTATAAACTTGGACTGATATTTCTTAGGAAAGAAAGGGTTAATATAATGGAATGGAAATGGACAAATCACATTTTTTCTTCCAATGGTATCTGGGTAAATCAGTTACTCCAACACTGAACTAAAGAAATAAGCTCAGCTCAGAGCCGGAGCCTGCGGCTGAACCCTCGCCCGGAGCCGCGACGGGAGTCGGAGCCCGCAGCCGGGCCCGCGGCTCGCGGAGGCTCGGGCACGTTGCATCTCACATGGTCAGAAAAAAAGTGAAAAAGGTGTCAAGAAAAGACATCAAACTTAAAGAAACACTCGTGGTGGACTTTTTCAAAATAAAAGCCAGTGAGAAACAGACGTTTACAATAAAATAAATAAATAAATAATAAAAACTGCCTTAACGGCGTTAAAATAATTGTTGGCGTTAATGACTTAATTAGTTAACGCAAAGTTAACGCGTTAATGTGCCCGGCCCTAGTTTTAATATATAGAAAACAACATTACATATTATTTTACATGTAGTGTAAAATAATAATAGATTATAAAAACATCTTGCATTGCGAAGTGTGCTGCAACACAGCAGACTTTGGGAACGACTGCTCTAGGATATATATTATTATTATAGCTGTAGTTCTGGACCTCGTCACATGGCGGCACCACTTGTAGGACGTCTGTAGGCCAATGTTAACGAAGTATAATGTGTAATGTTTTGATTTGAATAAGTTGGGCACCAGAACTTCTTAAGCTCAGCAAAAGTCCTACACTCTGTCTCTGTTGGGCAATGCAGTTTTCTAACGCAGAAGTCAGCACACTTGTTTCTTTTATTAAGTCAAGATTTTAAATGACCCCTGCGGATCATTCTGTAATTTGCACAAGATAACAATAAACTATATTGCAGCTGCTTTAAGTGTAGATATTTACATAATATAAGTAGGACTTTTTTAAGCACATTTCTATGTTGTTTAGTACTCTGAATAAACTTGGATTGATTGATTGATTTTTTTTTAAAGGGACAGTTCGGAATTTTGGACATATGGCCTCATTTCATAGGGATCCAGAGTGTTGGAGACGTGTGGAGACACTTTTTTAAATATTCCATCCAGTCCTTGTATTTGCAGAGGTCGCTGGTGCTAGACTAGTACATGTCAATGGTCATATTTATCCTGCCACTAAAAACAGTCTTACCCCCTCCACAAAACACCTGAAACAAATCTATTATTACACCAGAATGTCCACGTGAATGTCTGTGTCCATAGAATCATTTTAGAAGTAAAACCAACCTTGTATCGCATCAATCGTCACATATTGAGGGACTGTTTTCTCAGCAGCAGCGGAATTTTACTCTGCTCTAGTTCGTTGTGATGATGTGAACGTGACCATATTTGGAACAGGCTTCTTCATGTGCTCTATGTGTCACTATGGCAACTGCAGGTAAACAAACTATTACAGAGCCAGTTGGTGATAGGTGATATCAGTCCGCCGCTGCTGAGCTTTCTATCAGGAAGTAGAACCCGCTGTTGCTGCTCAGGCATAAATCCTTCAAATACCAGGTTGGTTTTACTTCTAAAATGAATCTATGGACACAGACATTCACGTGGACAGACTGGTGTAATAATCGATTTGTTTCAGGTGTTTTGTGGAGTGGGTAAGACTGTTTTTAATGGCAGGAGAACTATGACCTATGACCATGTACTAGTCTAGCACCAGTGACCTCTGCAAATACAAGGACTGGATGGAATATTTCAAGTGTCACCACACGTCTCCAACACTCTGGCTCACTAGGAAATGAGGTTCTATGAACAAAATTCTGAACTGTCCCTTTAAAGATGTGACTGACCTGTCAGATCCAGCTCGTGACTCCAGACCTCTGTGTGCTTTGTCTTCTTTCTCGTGCCCTCCTCTCTCACTGAGATGGAGACTAAATCACTGTCCAGCGGCAGGCGCAGCTCAAAGGATGGGTGGTAGTTGGGTTCATAGTCCATATCGAAGAGCGCCCTCTGGAGGACAGCAGCAGATATCAGTGCTGGGGTAAACTTAAACTAACGCGGGTCTGAGCTGTGCTCACCTCAGGCTGGATCCTCTGTGTTTTGGAGCAGAGTGCTCTGTAGAATTGGTCTGTGACCAGTTCACATGCGGCAGGAGCGTTAATGTAGTGTTTGGTGCAGGTCTGTCTGCATGACACCTGGAAATAAATACTGTCCAAGTTATTTTCCTCAAAGATCAATTTTCAGAGGGGCCCATGGTGCAGATTGGCAGCCTCGCTTCTGTCAGTCTGTCCCAGGGCAGCTGTGGTTACTATAGTATCTTACCACCACTGAGTATGGAGTGGATGAAGAATGCTGTAAAGTGTTTTTGAGGATTCAAAAAGCTCTAAGTCTGATGCATTATTATTACATTATTATTAAGATTTGTCAAAGTTTGAGTGTAAAATGAAAGGTAAAAGTCTGAGGTGATCTCCCACAGAGAGCTCCTTACCGTGTCCACAGGGATGTTTCTGGGCAGGAGAAACATGTTCAGTTTAATATCTTTCCAATTTTCTTTTGGTGTGCGGAAGAGCAGGACCTGTCCACTGATGTGTTTTTTTTTCCTAAAGGGATTTGTGAGTCCATATTGGGACAGCTTGGACACTTTGATGACCACATGGCTCTTTGAGATCTGTAGTGGTTGGATGAATTCTGTGTCACTGCCAGAGAAGTGCACCACCTTCAACTGGCTTTGAGAGAGTTTTGCTGAGGGGAGAAGAACAAATGGTTACAGAGCAGAGGAGGGTCAGATGATGCAGAGGAGGGTCAGATGGTGCAGAGGAGGGTCAGATGATGCAGAGGAGGGTCAGATGATGCAGAGGAGGGTCAGATGATACAGAGGAGGGTCAGATGATACAGAGGAGGGTCAGATGATGCAGAGGAGGGTCAGATGATACAGAGGAGGGCAGATGGTCAGAGGAGGGTCAGATGGTGCAGAGGAGGGTCAGATGATACAGAGGAGGTCAGATGCAGAGGAGGGTCAGATGATCAGAGGAGGGTCAGATGATGCAGAGGAGGGTCAGATGGTCAGAGGAGGGTCAGATGATGCAGAGGAGGGTCAGAGGAGGGGGTCAGATGATGCAGAGGAGGGTCAGATGATGCAGAGGAGGGTCAGATGATGCAGAGGAGGGTCAGATGATACAGAGGAGGGTCAGATGATGCAGAGGAGGGTCAGATGATGCAGAGGAGGGTCAGATGGTGCAGAGGAGGGTCAGATGGTGCAGAGGAGGGTCAGATGGTGCAGAGGAGGGTCAGATGATACAGAGGAGGGTCAGATGATGCAGAGGAGGGTCAGATGATGCAGAGGAGGGTCAGATGGTGCAGAGGAGGGTCAGATGGTGCAGAGGAGGGTCAGATGATGCAGAGGAGGGTCAGATGATGCAGAGGAGGGTCAGATGATGCAGAGGAGGGTCAGATGATACAGAGGAGGGTCAGATGATGCAGAGGAGGGTCAGATGGTGCAGAGGAGGGTCAGATGTGCAGGAGGGTCAGATGATGCAGAGGAGGGTCAGATGGTGCAGAGAGGGTCAGATGGTGCAGAGGAGGGTCAGATGGTGCAGAGGAGGGTCAGATGATGCAGAGGAGGGTCAGATGAGTCAGAGGAGGGTCAGAGATGCAGAGGAGGTCAGAGATGCAGAGGAGGGTCAGATGGTGCAGAGGAGGGTCAGATGATGCAGAGGAGGGTCAGATGGTGCAGAGGAGGGTCAGATGGTGCAGAGGAGGGTCAGATGATGCAGAGGAGGGTCAGATGATGCAGAGGAGGGTCAGATGGTGCAGAGGAGGGTCAGATGGTGCAGAGGAGGGTCAGATGATGCAGAGGAGGGTCAGATGGTGCAGAGGAGGGTCAGATGGTGCAGAGGAGGGTCAGATGGTGCAGAGGAGGTCAGATGCAGAGGAGGGTCAGATGATACAGAGGAGGGTCAGATGATGGCAGAGGAGGGTCAGATGGTGCAGAGGAGGGTCAGATGATGCAGAGGAGGGTCAGATGATGCAGAGGAGGGTCAGATGGTGCAGAGGAGGGTCAGATGATACAGAGGAGGGTCAGATGTCAGATGTGCAGAGGAGGGTCAGATGGTGCAGAGGAGGGTCAGATGGTGCAGAGGAGGGTCAGATGATGCAGAGGAGGGTCAGATGATGCAGAGGAGGGTCAGATGGTGCAGAGGAGGGTCAGATGATGCAGAGGAGGGTCAGATGATGCAGAGGAGGGTCAGATGGTGCAGAGGAGGGTCAGATGATACAGAGGAGGGTCAGATGATGCAGAGGAGTACCGTGCTCTGGTTCACAGTGCGGCAGGTGCAGTTCACACACAGCTTGCTCTGGACACTCGATGTCATACAGAGGTCCTGCAGGAGTTCTGCCCGACGACTCCAACAGCGCCTCATCCCATTGGACGATTCTGTACTGAAGCTCCGCCTCCTTCGTCACCACAAACACCAATCCGGTGGAAGAGCAGTGGAAGGTCCCAGAGTCAGGGCATCTGAACCTGGAGAGAGTTTTCCTCAGTGAGTCCAGCCCCGTCCCAACACACACCTGCTCATGTCTCATATGCACAAATGTTTTAAAACAAGCCAAATGTAAGGTTAAGGTTCACTTTATTCATCCTTTCACTGCATTTGACCCGTCAATGTCTCTAGGGCAAACTGACGGGAGCAGTGAACTCCCGACGGGAGCAGTGAGCTCCCGACGGGAGCAGTGAGCTCCCGACGGGAGCAGTAAACTCCCGACGGGAGCAGTGAGCTCCCGACGGGAGCAGTGAGCTCCCGACGGGAGCAGTGAGCCGCTGCTACAGATCCCTGTGGTATAAATGGTCACATGTGCTTTACCTGTACAGTGTGTTTGTTGACAAGTGAAGTTTTTGGGGATTGAAGCTGGTCACATTCTTCTGCTTGAAAGTCGGTGATGTCAGAGCACAAGTCTGTGCAAAAAGCAGAGATAATAAACACAGCCATCATCATAATACTGATTATAGTCTTATTACACACATAAACAAAATGACACTCACCCGTCATTCCAGACGCTCTGTAAAACACACACAATGTTTTCTGTTTAACCCTTTTACTAATTATTATGAGTGAAGTTTCCTGATCATCTCCAGTCATATTTACCTGTTCTGTGCAGCTGAAGACTCAGGCTCCTGCAAACATGAACAATGACACCAGTGAGAGGCCACAATCACAGCCTGCTCCTCGTCCCCCCACAGATACTCACAGAATAAATCTACATGAACACCTAAACCTAGCCGACATTGTATGTAAAAAAACAAAACAAAAAACATCTCAAAAGAAAAAAATATTTCTGTCAATTGGACCCACCTTACGGAATTTACACCAGGAGCGTCAGCAGCACATAACATTGGCAGAGCTGCAGATGCACAAACTTTTAAAAGCTTCAATTTAGACCAGAGGCAACAGAGCTGCTCCTGTGACGCCAGCCTCTGTGTATTCTCCCGTTTAAACTCTAAACTCTGTGTATTCTCCCGTTTAAACTCTAAACTCTGTGTATTCTCCCGTTTAAACTCTAAACTCTGTGTATTCTCCCGTTTAAACTCTAAACTCTGTGTATTCTCCCGTTTAAACTCTAAACTCTGTGTATTCTCCCGTTTAAACTCTAAACTTTGTGTATTTTCCCGTTTAAACTCTAAACTTTTCCCATAGTTCATGTTTTCATTGTTGATTGTCTCTGTTCTGTTTTAAATCTCTAATCTAAAGTGTCAGAGTGGATGTTTGCAGTGTTACGAGTCGTATCTGTGGAGCTGCGTTAATGAAGCTCGTCTCAGTTTCACTTTTGCTCGTTGCTCCTTGTGTCTTTTCCTTCACTTGTTCTTGTAAAGTTTCTGTCTGATGTGGTAAAGTGTTTTAGATTTATCCTTGGCGGCTCTAAACTTTCTGTGTCCATCACGATTTGTTCCTCGAGCTTCTGATGCGACGCTCGGTGTTTACGCTGTAGTGGTTTTACAGAATGGATTTTAAAAGGACATCGGAAGTTTACTTTGACACCACGTGTTTATTTTCCTGTCTTTCCTGCTAAAAAGCCTGGAAACACTCCGACTCTGTAAAATTAAAACTCCAACCTAATTTGAGCGATGTGTAGTGTAATGAAGACGCTGGACGCGCGTATGACACTGCTGCTGTAAACTGTCTGACCGGTTAAACCGGCCAAACCAGCTCGTGTGCTGCTGCTGCACTTACGCTGTTACGCTTTGGTGTAAATTGGGGGTTAGGTTCTTGCTCCACTCCAGGTGTCAGTGTTTACGTGCATAACCTTGCGAAACCACAGCCGCGCATTGGCTCTGTGTTTCTCAATGGGAAAGTCGATCAAAGCTACTGTGCACATTTAGTCTCTTGTATCAGGTCACAGTGAAACCAACAGCTGAACAGGCCTGTGTTTACCGTATGTACGGGCAAATGCAACGATTTCAAAAGTAAATTTTAAAGCACTAATTAACAGTATTTGTGGACCTGGGCTCTTTCACACAACACAGATCTGCCCCAGGAGAACACTTTGCTGATGGTAAATACAACAATAGATTCATGCTCTTTGTGTATTTTGACGGGGATGTGCGCCTACACTCACGTAGAGCGTCAAAACAACAGGATGGAACCTATTTTCTGAAATCTACGGGCGCAGGACGCGCTGCTGCATACACATGCCTTGGGGGCAGTGGAGCCGCCCTCATTCACTTTTAATGCATTCTAAAATTTACACGTCCAGAAGTTGCAGTTTTTACGCTGGCTTTGGCCAAAACATGCGTGCAGTGCAGCCAGGGCTTTAAAGACTGGTTCATCTGGTGGACAGAACCCCGAGCCACAATAAAGCACTGAAGTCCGTTCAGTGTGGAGAAGACTGCAGTGAGCGGCACATTGGAGATGTAGAGACAGTTTACACTGTTTTTTGACAGTTTACACTGTCTTGCTTTCTGGGGGTTGAGTTGATAATGTATCGATAATGAAAAAAATACAGCCTATAGTGCATAAAGGGGCATTTAACCCGACCATGGAGAAGTAATGTAAGACGCAGCCGTGTCAGTAGCCTATTTGCTGTTAGGATGCCGCTGTCACCCTCTTTCCCGCGGTTGGCGACCTGTGTCTTCGTGTTCAGTTGCCAAGAGGAAGATCGACATTTGGATGATGCAGATAAGCTTAGGCCAATGTTGTTTTCATGTATTTTGTTAGATGCAGGTCTGTTATTTACAGATAATGATTTTTCACCGATCAAGTGTCCAAGGTTTGACACGATGATATTAATGCTAATGTAAGTCAAACGCTTCATAGTTACCAAATTATGTTACTAGTCAGGTTAGTCAATGTGTAGTTATCAGTCTAGGTTAAAAAGATGAAAACAGCAGGTATTAGTGAGTAACAATAAGTAAGTTAGTAAATTAACAATTCTCCTATTGAATTTGTTTATTCAAGATGCCAGATTACATCTGAGAACTGATTTTATGTGATGCACGGCGCTCAAAAATCTGTCAAAATGTTTAATATGACTTTTGTAAGATACGAAGCCACACCGCTGTCGAAGCATCATGGCTACTGTAGTCAGGAGCCTCACGACATTAAACAATAATATTCAGTAATATTGGACGTCTCCATCCAAAATGGGAACATGCTTACGAAGCGGATTTCAAACTGCGCAGAACTCTGCACACCTGCGGCTAAGGGCAGCCTTTGCCCGACTCCTCTGTGGGCTTGGGTTTCTCTTGCTCTCAACTCCACGGTTAGTCCTGGTTCAGTCCTGGTTCAGTCCTGGTTCAGTCCTGGTTCAGTCCTGGTTCAGTCCTGGTTTAGTCCTGGTTTAGTCCTGGTTCAGTCCTGGTTCAGTCCTGGTTCAGTCCTGGTTTAGTCCTGGTTTAGTCCTGGTTTATTCCGTATGCAGCGCAGAAGTCTGGCATCTTGATTAATGTTTCTTCTGGGATGTGCACTTCTTCTTAAAGCGCCTTTATAATGAGGTGCACCGTATGTATGAGATGATGGTCTGTGTCAATGCCCACGCTTGTCCGGGTCCACACCTGTGCCCAGCAATGCGACGCTGCCCGAGGCTGGGGAAAACAACAGTTGAGCAACAGTGCTCAACAAGCCAACATAGATGGAGGTGACAAGGACAGACGGTGGTGTTGTTTGCAGGAGAGCTGTTGAATGTGGTAGACGTTATGAAAATAAGACTTGGAGAAGTTAGACGTTGCGTTTGCGTCTGGTGATTGTTATGCGAAGTGTAGATCACGGAGCATGTAAGGCTACATAAAAACAGAATAGTGCACATAATAACTACAGCAGTGTAGGCTACACAATAACAACAGAAACATCGATGATGATGATGATGATGATGATGATGATATTTTATCTAGGCTTTATAGCACATGATCAAACATGCTGGATAATAACCATGTCAGTATACTGCTGGAAAACCAAGTTCATGTGCACTGCAGTTTTTGAATATTGATTAAAAACTGTTAGGATTGTCATAATTGTATTAATGAAATAATTTCCTTTCTTATATCTTTTCCAGCATACTTTTGACTTATGGCCAGACATGCAGTGAACAGCTCTGACATAAAAGCTGTTGATGAGGGAGTAAAAAATCATTTCAAATGCAGTTGGTTAGAGGACACTGTCCAAGTCCAAGGAGACACCCTGCCTTTGAAATGTTTCAGCAAAATCAGAGAAGCTGGTAAGACAATTTGTAACACTTGCAATTGTATTATAAATGATGGGACAAGTGGGAAGGTGACACTAAAGAAACATGTGGAGCATCCCAAACACATAATGGCCTGGAAGCTGCAACAGCAGAACATGCATATTCAAATTGCACCTTCAGATAATATTATCATTACAACTCCATACACCGACTCAGTTCAACCCAGAATTCCTTCTTTATGCAGCTGAGTTACACAGAATCAGTTCTACTATTTAGGTAGGAAATGTATGTAGAATGTGTGGTTGTAATGTTTACGATACGATGTGGTCTAATGATGACATTTTGTGGGATTTGTTGCGGAGCACTCACTTCCTTTGACAATCACAGCACATCTGATTGACAGCACAGGTGCTGGCCAAAGATCCCAGGGCTCTTCTTGTCTATGGATAGACCAGCTGTGTCGTACAAGTTAACACATGGAGTGAAAAAAAACATTCTAGACCAGGGGTCGGCAACCCGCGGCTCCGGAGCCGCATGTGGCTCTTTAGCACTCCCCTAGTGGCTCCCTGGAGCTTTTTCAAAAATGAGTGAAAATGGAAAAGGAATGATTTTTTTTGTTGTTGTTTTAATCTGGTTTGTTTAGGGGTAAAACCCTCGTTCATCTCTGGTCATGGATCTGATCCATCAGCTGTGTGCAAATGCAAAGACATTAAAAGTGTTTCAGCAGAACAAATAGAGAGAAACACTTTCTCCGAAAAAAAACACAAACAAAAAAAACACACAAAAAAAACATGTGTGCAGAGCTCAGAACAACATATAACAAACCAAACGGGATTCACGCTTCTGTCCGGACGCTGCACCACCTCAGAACCAGCTGCAGTCGAGCGCGGAGGACCAGAGCACCCGGACCTGTGGTCCACAGAACATTCTCGCTTTTCCCGCACAGAACCTGCGCACAGAGGACGACACGGAACCGCTCGGACCCAGTCCTTTGTGCTGGTCTTACTCGTCTCCGTCTGGAACCAGGACATGGAGGACGAAGCCTCCGGACAATCAACACTGGACCCCAGCCCCGTCTGGAGGAGCTGCTCCCGTGTGTTTGACGCTGCTGCTGAGCTCAGAGCTTCTGCTCCGGGCTGATGTTGTGTACAAAGTTCTCCATGCTGCTGTTTTCTGAGTGCTCCTGCACGATCAGAAGAAATGCGACTGCTGCTCTGATGCTTCCATCATCGTCGTCAAAGCAACAGGTAAACATCGGTCACACTTTCAGCGCGTCGGCTCCTAAAACTCCGTTTATCTCAGTTTACACACAAACGTGAAACCGGAGTTTTTAGAAAGATTCGTTTTCAGAGGTGAATTCTCCATTTGCGTGTAAATCATGTGAACAAACGTAAACGGAGCCTAAATGACAAAGGAATAAACACTAACCACCTGATTTCAGTGTCTACAGACGGAGCAGCGAGTGTGAGAGGGTCACAGAGGGTTTGTGTATCATGATGTTCATTTTGTATTTGTAGCCGACTTAGTCATTTTAATAGTGGGTTTATACAGTTAATATACTGACAGCCTGTGTTGTCTTCATATTAGGCTGATATAAGACTTTTCATTTTTTGCGGCTCCAGGCAGGTCTGGTTTTTGTTTTTTTGGGCCAGTTTGGCTCTTTGAACATTTTGGGTTGCCGACCCCTGGACTAGAGGACGCTGGCAGATGGGAAGAGTCCTGGCAGTAAACACTGACTCAAGAGGCCTGGTTCACTCAGCACAGATCAAGACCAAAACCAGTGAGTTGGAGAAACCAGTGACCAAACTCTGTCTGCTGCTGGAAGCGGCTGTGGACTCAAATTAAACTCAAACCTCTGTCTGTCTCTATTCTGCATCCTGTGCTCCGTCTGTCATGTTCTCTTGCAGGTTTATCAGAAGAAAGAAGAAACATTCAGCTAAGGCTAATGCATCACACATATCTAATACTGACACCGTTTTAGAACAGCTCCTAGTTCAGTTGACTGGTAATTGTGATTTAATGCACAATTAGGGGCCGGAGTGTAGGAGCTATTTGCTTATTTTGTTGATTCTACAATTTGTTTATTATTTTTGTTTGTTTAGTTAGTTTACTAATTTAGTTTTGTTCATTTGTATAATATATTTTTGCTATGTTAATATTATTCTTGCTAATTTCTTAGTCTAAGTTGGTGTTATTTACGTTAGCAGCTCTTTTTTGTTTTGGTTTCATGTGGGTCACCTCGGGGATAAAGGAGGGTGGTACATGGACCAGAGTGACCTGGGTGGACCTGTGGTTTTTTCCCAGTCACGAGGAGAAGCAGCAGGAGTCGCCTTAAACATGTTTTCTTTGTTGTTTGGCCAAAAAACTGGAAAATAAACCTTGGAAAATCATCTCTAGTCATGGACATTGATTTGTGCTGCGTAAACCACATCCCCACGGTGCCAAAGGTGATTATCTGAGTTATGTTTAGTTCTGAGTTTGTCCACACTTTTGTTTGTTACTTTCATTTGACAAATAGTCACTACAGATACTTTTTTTTGTTTTCCAATGAAACTCATGGATGGTTTTGTTTCTCAAGGCTCTTTGGGTCAATGAAATCAATCTCAGACGCCTGAGCCAATGAGTTTGCCACGTCAGTCCAATCAAAGGAAAAACAACTTAAGATGGATGTTCCACATTATTAAGCAGAACGTCATTCTCAAGCAACATGGGAAAGAAAAAGGATCTCTCCAGTGCCGAAAAATCTGAAATAGTTGAATACCTTGGACAAGGTATGAAAGCCTTAGATATTTCAGGAAAACTTAAGCATGATCATCGTACTATTAAGAAATTTGTATCTGATTCAGAGCTCAGACGGATTTGTGCAGATAAAGGCACAATGAAGAAGGTTTCTGCCAGACAAATACATGTATAAGAATAAGAGAGCAGCTGCTAAAATGCAGTTCTGCATAAACCTTCTACTGGGCCCTTAAACAAAGCTCACCACAGAAACGGCTCCAGTGGGCCTAGAAATGATTGGTCCTCTGCATCCGCTCTACACACATTTCCTTTACTCCACTTTCCCACTTCATTTTGTAAACACGTACGACTAGTGTTGTGCCAGTGAATTACTTCGTGGAACATAGACTTCAATGCAGAACCATAAATCAGAAATGATGGCGACAAGGCAACGGCGGCAGTGTGCACTGAGTTGACACAGAACTATAATTCAGTCTTCAGGAGGAAAAGAAATCATCATCAAAAAAGGAATCCAGTGTCCCACGTTTATCGTGGGGGTCACATTCTAAAAATAACCCGCGGTAGGTGAAATCTGCTAAGTAGTCAACTTTATTTTTTACAATTATTATATCTGTTTTAAGTCTGTAAAACCCCTCAGCACAAACTTTATACACTTTTCTCACACAGGAAACTTACAACACTTTTTACTTCCTTCTTAAAACTTATTGCTGCTGTCGTCCTTATGTTATTTTCCTCCTTCTTTATGTAACAAACCGAAGATTAATTTATTCCATAATGGAGCCGACAGCGCAGAGTCCTGCACGGGTCCATTTCTGGAGACCCACACCCGCGCAGTACAGGACCGCACCTGCCCGCACCTGCCCACAACTGCCCGCACCTGCCCGTTAACCCAAGACTAAACCAGGACTAACCCAGGACTGATTCCAGGACTGCAGAGGAGGACTAAACCAGGACTGAACTAGGACTAAACCAGGACTAAACCAGAATTGAACCAGGACTCACGATCACGAGCTCAGAGGTGACCCCAGGAGAAAGGACAGACGGAGAGCTCCGCACCTCACAGTAAGTGCGCCAATAGCCCGATCACGCAGCACTTCAGAATCTCACGGCTGGCGATCGAACATTTATGTAAATTTGGCAAACTGAACACATTCTGTACTGTACAGGAGACACGGCACGAAGGAGATTGATTAACAATAGTCTACAATACCTTAGCCAATCAGGACGCAGGGGGAGGAACACAGTACATGCTCATACGCTGTAAAAAAAAAGCATGCAAAATTGCACTAAAAAAACAGCGAGACCACAAAAGATGAACCACGATATAGCGAGGGACGACTGTAGTCTGATCGTTTAACTTCTCTACAGTCTATATTAACACTTTCACACCACTGGTTCGATTATTTGGTCTGTACCAGGCGATAAAATTATTATGTAGCATACAGACTCCAGTGTGGTTTTTTCACACTGGCAAATGAACCAAAGTTGGTCTGAAGCACTCACTGCAGCGCGCACCGCCTCAGGACGGGGCTAGGGGTCCGGTTTTGGTCTTGTGCCGTCCTCTGGTCCGGAGACTCCGTCCTCCATTTGCTGGTTGCAGACAGGGGCGAGCAAGACCAGTGCATAATGGACTGGGTCTGAGCGGTTCCGTGCTGTTTTCTGCACGCTGGTTCCGTGCAGTGAAAGTGAGAATGCACTGTGAGCTACAGGTCCAGGTTGCTCCTGTCCTCTGTGCTCGAGGACCACAGCTGGTTCCAAGGTGCTGCAAAGCATCCAGAGAGGAGCATGAATCCAGTTTGGATCGTTTTATGTTGTTCTGAGGGATCAGTGCTCAGCACACTTGGTTCTTCCCAAGGAAAACTCTTCTCAGGCCGAGGCTCCTCACGTCACTCCCTGCTCCAGCTCCTCTGAGCCCAGAGAACAGAGGTACACACCCCCAGTCTGTGGAGCCACACCTTCACACATTGGTACTTGCTCTGATCTTCATGTATTACGTTCTCTGTATTGACCATTGTTGGCAAAATAATTAAAAACTGAGCCATGACTTCGTCTGGAGAACAGTCTGTTTTTACCCTGGAGTTGCTGAAGGTGTATAGTATGTCATTTCAGTCAGAGGAGACACATACCCACTCCCATGATGCATTTGAATAGTTGGTTTGGACCTACTGTGATTAGTGTCATCTATCGCTATGGGCAGCTGTTGCTAAGAGACAGGAGAGAGCAGATAAAATTGAAGATTCCATCACTAATTTTATAAGATCTTTGGCATTTTTTGCTGTAACAACATGAAACTTGGCACTGCACACACCCATACCATAAGGATTACATCCTCCGAATTTGAGATTGTTCAGATGAGCAGTTGGAGAGTTATTTGTGGAACAGACAGACAGACATTCCTTGCATTTATAGATAGATACTGTATATATATACTGTATATGGACTGTGTTTTACCCTGTGGTGTGAGGGTTCGGGCTCTGGCTCCTTGGACACACTGGGACAGATGTTGGGAGAAGTTTCTGAGAAAACAAATGAGTCGCCCAAAATCATTAATGCTCATGTAAGAGTAAAAACTTGTATCCCACCTTAACCTGGAACAGCTCATTTAAACTCGACAGTTTGATTTACTTTAGTACTTTAGGTACGTATTAGGTCAGGGATGGGCAAACTACGGCCCGGGGGCCATATGCGGCCCTTTAAACCTTTTAATCCGGCCCGCCGAACTTGAATAAATAATAATAATAAACCTTGTTAATGTTTTATTTTTCCTGCATTTCCGGCGTTTCCCAGTAGACGGCGCACTATATATACATTGAGGTGCGGCGGCTTCTGTTGGCCGCAATGCTTTATGGGAAAGTATTGACAGGAGTTATTTTCAGGCGGTGTATTCGGACCATGAATGAGGTAGAAGTGTTCAAGACATAAGACTGCACTGTTTCCACATTAAATCTGTGTAAAGCAAAGTCATAAAATTCATATACACTGTATTAGAAAGTTCTTTAAGTTTTGGCTTGTCTAAGTGCTCAGGACACATGTTTGCCTTTGTTGTGCAGTGGGGGCAGACCTCATTTCACTTTTCATGAGTTCTGGAACTTGTATGTCTAAAAGTTGCAGCGTGTAGAGCAGAATACGTCCTACATGAGAGTAAATACAAGTGCATTGGAGCTGGGCTCTGAACACGTCATGTTCCGTCTTCTGTCCGGCCCTTTGTTAGGTTTCCTCAAAAAACCATTCAGCGTGTTCTCTTAAAAATTACCACTGGAATTGAACGATTAAAATCAAAAATAATTTATTCCCTAAACAATACAATTCTAATCCAGAGCTCTGGGTCAGATCGTTACCCCTGACGCCTACGGCTACACAGGTCTTAAATCAGGCAAATCTGGACGCCTCTGAATACCTCAAATCAGATTTTATAGACATCCATATGAATATGCAAATAATATGTTGAACAGGTAACGCCTTGAATCTTCTCTGGAGTATCTCTGCATTCCTTTAGGTTTAGGGAGTTGACAGCAGCCAAATGTAAATCATCCGTTTGTTTAGTTTCACACCAGGCTGAACCATCTCCACAGTCGCTGCTCTGCAATGAATTTCCTTAAAAGGACACGACCTATATCTGCAAAGGATTACTTTAAAAGCAAACATGTTTCACATAGTGGTACCTTTAAACATACATAAGATTTCAGTGGTTAAATAACTCAGTGTGTAATAGTCAAACAAATATATAAATTCAATGTTTAATATGCACATGTGATGCACTCAAGAAACTTCACCATTTGGTACAGCCTTCACCTTCAGTCAAATTTTAGAACCCTATGTGGCCCCCGAGCCAAAAAGTTTGCCCACCCCTGTATTAGGTGAACAGGATCTGACTCACACTAGACCTGAAACCAAAAGTGCTCAAGTTCTACATTATAACACAAATGCTGCTCCCCGACAAAGAATAAACTTAACTCAAGTCAGGCCTCCTACCTGGAGAGAGTTGGGACGTGCCAGGCGCCTCCTCACTGAAGACGTGCCACTTAGGAAGCTGGTCTTCTGTCAGTGAAGAGTAGGAGCGCTTCTGGCCTCCTCCCCGTGGAGAGCATCTTGTGTCTCCATGTGAGGACCTTGGTGGTAGTATATTGGGTTGTGTACTGGCTGATGTAGCAGTGGAGAATCTTATGTTGGGAAAACAATTGAATGTGTTGATCACTGTCATACGCACATGTATTTTACATAATTATGAACAGAATTAATGTGAGGTATATTTATGCATTGAAGAGAATTAAATAATTACAAAAAACATATTACATACAAACACATTGGACATGATCACCAAGTTGTTAACTTGAAAACCGTCGTCTACGGTTTCTTATGGTGTGTAAAGCGTCACTTAGTGCTACTGTAATGGTCGTGGGCGGTTGATGTTCTCATTTAAGTTGACGGAAAAGTAAGTGTTTGGAGTGAGATTTTTCAACTTATGCAAACATGTCCAATATTGCACAAATAAACAACAACAGAAGAGTGACAGATGAAGTGATACAGGAGAGATCTGAGCAACTTACTTGATTCTGACATCAAATCTGCAGCGCTGTACTTTACAGAACTGTAAAAGAAACAAAAACACAGAGGGAGGACACTTATTTATCATACTGGACTTATCTCCGCCCACTTTAACTATCCCCTCCCACTCCAGGAAGCCACTGTGAACGTCAGTGTTAAGGTGGTGGTTACGGCGCTCGCCCCGGGCCCCTCATTTGTTTTCACCACATGTGCCTTTTCGGTATGTGCCCCCCCCTCCTGTCCCCTGTCTGCACCTGCCAGAGCCTCACCCAATAAAAGTGCCGTGCCTCAGTACTACACGTGTACAGCGCCGTGTGTAACTGAGACACTAGAGGTCACTGTTGAGGTACAGTATCTCAGTCAGTTTGGCTCAGCCCTTGGGCATTTTCTTTAAGTTAGCTTTATTCATTTAGATGCACCTTTGTTGTTATTTAGTTGTTATTTTATTTACTTATTTATTTACTTCTAATTTGTCTTATTTAATACCCATTTTTGTTCTACTTGTTGTTCTTGTCGTGACCTAGTTAAGGTCAGAAGCACAAATCTGAGCACTCAAAGGCACAGGGAAAGAGCCACAGTGAATCATGGTGTCTGACCTGAGGACATGCAGCTGATGACCTGGTCCTGGTCGACTCTCTCTCAGCTCCTGGAGTCCAGCAGACGTCACAGTATTGCCCCGTAGGTCCAGGTGCCTCAGAGGAAGTGAAGGACGGAGCCTCAGAGCAGAAGCCAAACACCGACAGCTGAAGTCCGACACACCACAGGACCTTAAACTACACAGAACAAATATGAGGCCTTAGTGTTGGGGCAGGAAAAGACTGTGAAGGTTGATGGTTTATTTTGAAGCCTTCCTGGAAGATTTGAAAGTGTCAAGGCTGGAATGTCCAAAAAACAGCACCTAGTTATATATGAGGGGAAAAAGGTATTTTGTTTATTGTATGTTTATATGATTTTTTATTCTGTTATCTTGGGTGTAGATTAATTCTCATGTTTCTTAAAGTCACTTATGTGCACAGAAAAATAAACAATGGGAAAGGCACGTTCATCTGTACGAGTGTTTATTCTACTAAAGCTGCTATAATGACTCTTCAGTGAAGTGTGATCAGATCCTGCTTCTCTGTTGAGTTCAGCTCTATGCACATACACAAACATTTCCCCACTTTGTCCTACTCTCAGTGGATTTAGGCTACGTCCACATGATAAACGCTCCTGCATATATATATATATATATATATATATATAAATGTGTTTCTCACCTTCCACGGTGGTTGGTCTCTCACCCTCATTCAGCTCGGGTCGTCTACCAGAGGCCTGGGAGCTTGACAGTTCTGCGCAGTATCTTTGCTGTTCCCAGTCCTGCACTTTTCTGGACTGAGATGTCCATTGTTTTTCCCGGTATCTGTTGTAGCCACTCTTCCAGTTTGGGGGTTACAGCCCCGAGTGTCCGATCACCACAGGCACCACTGATGCCTTTACTTTCCAGGCTCTCTCCAGCTCTTCCTTGAGCCCCTGGTATTTCTCTAGCTTCTCGTGTTCCTTTTTCCTGATATTACCATCGCTTGGTATTGCGATGTCAACCACCACGGCTCTGCTCTGTTTCTTATCCACCACCACTATGTCTGGTTGGTTCGCCATCACCATTCTGTCAGTCTGTATCTGAAGTCCCACAGGATCTTTGGCTCGGTCATTCTCCACAACCTTTGGAGGTGTTTCCCACCTTGATCCTGGGGTTCTCCAGCCCGTACTCTGCACAGATGTTTCTGTACACTATGCCCGCCACTTGGTTATGTCGCTCCATGTTTGTTTCCCTGCCAGCATCTTACACCTGCAGTTATGTGCTGGACTGTCTCAGGAGCCTCTTTGCACAGTCTACACCGTGGGTCTTGTCTGGTGTGGTAGATCTGGGCCTCTATTGCTCGAGTGCCCAGGACCTGCTCCTGAGCAGCCAGGATCAGTGCCTCTGTGTGTCCTTCAGACCCTCTCAAGCCATTGGTAGGATTTCTTGATATCAGCCACTTCAGTTATGTTCCGGTGGTACGCCCCATGTAGGGGTTTGTCCTGCCATGATGGTCCCTCCAGAACCTCTTCTCTCTGGACCCCACTGTCTGAGACATTCTCTGAGCTCCTCATCTGCCGGGGCCTTGTCCTTGATGTACTCAAGGAGCTTGGATGTTTCATCCTGGACAGTGGTTCCCACACTCACTAGTCCTCGGCCCCCTTCCTTCCGGCCTGCGTACAGTCTCAGGGAGCTGGATTTGGGATGGAACCCTCCATGCATGGTCAGGAGCTTTCGTGTCTTAACATCTGTGGTCTGTATCTCCTCCTTTGGCCAGCTTACAATCCCTGCAGGGTATCTGATCACTGGCAGGGCGTAGCTGTTTATTGCCTGCACCTTGTTCTTGCCATTGAGCTGCTTCTAAGGACTTGCCTCACTCTTTGCAGGTATTTGGCCGTAGCCGCTTTCCTTGTTGCCTCTTCGAGGAGCCATTTGCTTGTGGGATACCAAGGTACTTGTAACTGTCCTCAACGTCTGCTATTGTTCCTCTGGGAGTGACACCCCCTCTGTGTGGACTACCTTCCCTCTCTTTGTCACCATCCTGCTACATTTCTCAAGCCCGAATGACATCCCAATGTCTGTACTGTAGATCCTTGTGGTGTGGATCAGTGAGTCGATGTCTCGCTCACTCTTAGCGTACAGCTTGATGTCATCCATGTAGAGGAGGTGACTGATGGTGGCCCCGTTTCTGAGTCGGTATCCATAGCCAGTGCGGTCGATTATTTGGCTGAGAGGGTTCAGGCCTATGCAGAACAGTAGTGGGGACAGTGAGTCTCCTTGGTATATGCCACATTTGATGGACACATGTGCAAGTGGCTTTCCACAACCGCATCGAGTTCGCAATGAACGCCCTTAGAGTCCTGTTGATATTGTACAGCTTCAAGCACTCAGTGATCCATGTGTGTGCATTGAGTCGTAGGCTTTCTTGTAATCAATCCAGGCAGTGCACAGGTTGGTCTTACGGGTTCTGCAGTCAGGCGACTGTTCGGTCAACCAGGAGTTGGTGTTTGGCTCCCCTGGTGTTTTTGCCGATACCCTTCTGTGCTGCACTCATGTATTGATTCATGTGCCCACTTATCTTAGCCGCAATGATGCCTGACATGAGCTTCCATGTTGTGGAGAGACAGGTTATTGGCCGATAGTTGGATGGGACTGCACCCTTTGAGGGATCCTTTAGGATCAGGATCGTACGCCCTTGGGTTAACCATTCAGGTGAGTCCCCCCATCCTTAGCAGCTGGTTCATTTGTGCTGCCAGGCGCTCGTGGAGGGCAGTGAGCTTCTTTAGCCAGTACGCATGGATCATGTCAGGGCCCGGTTGGAAACCCCAGGATCAAGGTGGTAAACACTTCCAAAGGTTGTGGAGAACGACTGAGCCAAGATCCTGTGGGACTTTCAGATACAGACTGACAGGATGGTGATGAACCAACCAGACATAGTGGTGGTGGAACATCACAACACCAAGCGATGGTAATATCAGGAAAAAGAAACACGAGAAACTAGAGAAATACCAGGGGCTCAAGGAAGAGCTGGAGAGAGCCTGGAAAGTAAAGGCATCAGTGGTGCCTGTGGTGATCGGACACTCGGGGCTGTAACCCCCAAACTGGAAGAGTGGCTACAACAGATACCGGGAAAAACAATGGAACATCTCAGTCCAGAAAAGTGCAGTACTGGGAACAGCAAAGATACTGCAACAGAACTTTCAAGCTCCCAGGCCTCTGGTAGACGACCCGAGCTGAATGAGGGTGAGAGACCAACCACCGTGGAAGGTGAGAAACACATTTTTTAATATATATATATATATATATATATATATATATATATATATATATATATATATATATTTTTTTTTTTTTTTTTTTTTTTGCAGGTTGAAAAAATTTTTCGTCTACACACGTGTCGGATCAGTAAATATTCACGTCTAAACGACAATGGAGCACTGAGTGAAAAAGATGTAATACATCTGCCTCAAAGTGGGTCGGATTTTTAAACCTGTTTTTTCAAGTTCCTAACTGGAGTTACATTCTCTTACTGGTTTTGCAGTGGGATTTAACAGCATCTGCACATTTAACAAACCAAACGTACATCATGACAAACACAGATGCATCTGTGCACTTTTATTAGGCAAACTTCAGCCACATGTCGCACTAGACCTGCTCTGTGCTGTAGACCTGCTCTGTGCTGTAGATCTGCTCTGTGCTGTAGATCTGCTCTGTGCTGTAGACCTGCTCTGTGCCGTAGACCTGCTCTGTGCTGTAGATCTGCTCTGTGCTGTAGATCTGCTCTGTGCTGTAGACCTGCTCTGTTTCAACACTGCAACATAAATTTAGATTAGTTTTACTTCATGTTTGTCTTGCTCTTCTACTCAGCGCATTGAGGATGGAGCCTGTCTGTGCTGTACACAGGAAGGAGCGAGAGCGTGAAAAGGCGAGGAGCGGTGATGTGAGGCAGGTGGACAGGTAGGATGTTTTAAAAAGTTTAACCTGTCCTGTGATCCACACTGTTACGGACAAGGTGCGCACAGGGAGTGTGCGTTTGTGATGTGTCACACATTATCTGCGGGTTCCAAATGAGCGCCCGCTCGTTCCCACATGCCCCCGCACCCTCCCGCACACCTGTACTAGTTTATTGCCGACTTGTCGAGTGTCAGACCTCAAGTGAGAGACAAGATCGAGTCCGAGACGAGTACTACGACACTACGATCTACCCACATTACCTTGGAGATCGACTGGTAGATCGCGATCCACATATTGGACACCCCTGGTTTAAACCATTTGATGGTTTTGCTGTTTTCCCCACACTCTCACCTATGTAAGACCATAATTCCCAATATTTGACAATAATCACTCATCCAGACTTTGGCTCTGCAGTAAGTCTGACCTGATACTAAAGGCAGGATCAAGTGTGAACACAGGAATGTATTTGTGTGGAGCAGCGGCTGACCTCAGAGTTTCTAGCTGACACAGTGGGTTCCACAGAAAATCACGCAAAAATCTCCACTCCACGATCTGTTAGTTCAAGATTTTCACTGAGGTCCAAGACTCTGAGGTGGGAGGGGTTTATCCACAGAGCTTCATCCAGGGGCAGACAGCTGTTGTAGGTCAAACTGCAGCGACTCAATCTGGTGCAAAACAACAAAACAATAAAATAGTTCCATGAATTAAAAAGTGGTGATATTGGAGAGCTGCACTGGATCAGAACTTATAAACACAGGTGCCCATCAGACCAGGGGCTTGAATTCTTGTAGAGAACAAAGAGGACGGCACAGACGCTCTGATTTTCAGTGCAGCATTTGGAAATGGCTGTTTATAAATGTTATATTTAAATAAATGAAACTGAAAAAATCTTGTGGATTGGTGTAAGTGCCCTGGTGGGGATGTGTCTGAATGTTCCACATGTGGCATTAAACACACGTCTATCTCCATGGAAACAAGCAGATGATGCCAACAGGCCAATTTAAAGGTCAGATCTGTGGAGAGGCGACCTTGTTTACAGAATGCATAACTTCTGAATAGGTTCAGAAAATGGAAGCAAAAATAAATTTAAGAA